TTTGTGGTCCCATGATAATATCAATCAAAGACAAAATACATAGATATATGAATTAGTAATATTAAATTGTAATACGCTAGCATAGAGTTTTCTAATTAAAAACATAGACAAAACTGCAAAAATGGTCCTTGTGGTATGCATTTTTTCTGAGGTTTAGTCCAAACATTGATTTTTTTTGGCTTCATGGTCCTTTTAAGCTAGTTTTGTTGCGAATTTGGTCACTCGGTAAACTGAAATGACTGTACTACACTTTGGGTATTTTAATTTTCATTTTTCTTTGATTTTTTAAGTATAATATCTATTTATTTATTTTAATAAAAAAAAGGGCTCGCTTCTCTCTCTCTTTCTCTCACTCATACGTTACCAGACCAACCTTCCCTTTCCTTCTTCTTCACTTACAACCAAGAACCACAGTTGCCGGCCACCGGAGCAGCTCCCTCCGTCACTCCTCGCTGCCATGGTAAAAACCCACCACCACTATGTTTATTTTGTCGAGTACAACAGCCCCAAACATCCCCGACCCTTACTCCTTCCTCCACTCGTCTCTCACACGTCGACCTTGCTGGAAGAAATAAACAGAAGCAACATGAGTCGCTAGAGCGAGCACCACCGACTGTCGTAGTCATTCTCAGCCTACTCCGCCCTCCCCTGTCGTGACCCACTACCAAGATTTTCCAATAAACAACATTATATACAAAAACAACTTTAAACCAACAAATTACAGTCCATCCAATGTACCTGGAATGAAATCGGGGATGAGAGGGTCGAATCGGAGACCAAATGTGACAACCGTCAAATTCAAGTCAAGTCAAAGTCAAAGTCAACTAGTCAAAGTCAAACCGGTCAATCTTGTATAATACTTGTATGATTAAAAGTTATTATATGAAAACGTACATTTGTATGTCAAGAATTCGAGTGTCTCAATAAATCTATATGTTTATCAATTTGAAACCCTAAGAAGGGATTTAAACGCATCAAAACACGACTATGGACCCTTTTAGGGACTTAAAATAACCGTAAACGAAGTATAATGGGTTCCACGGACCTTGCATTGCAAGATTATTCGATGAAAATGGCTAAAAGTGAATCTCTCTCAAATCTCTCCCAATCTCTCTCAAATTCTTTATAGTCAACCGGGTCATCCTGACCCTTAAATTGACCAAAAACCGCTCGAATCGGTGAGTTATATCGAAAAATAGCTAATTAGGACCGAAACTCCTCTTAGGAGCCGAACCTCTTAGGAGTCGAACCTCTTAGGAGCAGAACCTCCTGTCATAACCGAACATGTTAGAAGCCTCTCGGACCGAGCCTCGCAGGCAGTAGCCGAGATCGAACTTCGGTTCCTCCCCCTCGCACCTTCGGTCCTTCTTCTTCCCTTCTTTCGATTCTTACCTTCTTAGAGCCGAACCTCATAGGTTCGGTCCCTAAAGCCGGTTTTTTGACTACTTTCGCCTGTTAAACCCGTTTTTGATGTTTTTTACGAGATTTTTTTTTCACCAAATTCATATTTTTACCATTTTTAACCCCCAAAACTCATATTTTATTTATTTCTCAAGGATTTATTAATTTAAAATCATTATTTTATATTAAGAAGGATATTTACCCTACAAGTGGGTCAAGAGTGTCCACTTGTCTTCCATGTGTCACCCTATCATTTACCACCTTATCCACATCACACAAACCAATGCACACATCACTTCAAACTCAAAAGTTGCTCCAGCAACATTCTATATAAAGAAATCCCTGGAGGATTTCTTGATTTACTTGCTCATTTCAAACATACACACTTCTCATATCACCTCAAGAAAGCTTCTTTCTCTCTACTTTCCACCACCTTGTGAAAATGTTCTTGAGTTGCTACTGCACTTTTTGGTAATTATTCCATCTAAACTCAAGTGTTATTCCATAATTTCATAACACTCTTGGACCATTGACTCATATCTTAACACCAAAAATCGTTCTTAGGATCATCCAAATTTTCACGTATTCATCAAGTGTTCCTGACTTGATACTCCTCGTCTTCGACCTTCCACTCTTCAAAAAATCACTCAAGGTGAGTTCATACCCCTATATTTTCTAGTTTTATTTAGTTTTCAAGGCGGGGGGGGGGGGGGGGGAATACAAGTTAAAATACCAAAACATATTTGAAACTTAACTTGACAGCTTACAACAGAAAAGTTGTGACCTGTTCACGAACTGTTTTACCCAACTTAAACTTAATATTTTTCAAAACTGTTCAATATGCAAATAGTTCAGGTTTATACCTTTAAAATGACTACTTGCACATCTCCATACGATGTTTCTATAATTTTTGGTGATTTTTACAAAACTGCCTATCACTGTAGCAACGAAATCGGACCCGGTCGTGAAAATGAACATTTTCACACTGGTTTGAGGCCACCAAAAATAATAAGAAAATTTGTGAACATAGTAGACTCTTTTTCCAAAATCTCCGAGTTTACGGATTTAGTTTTCGGCTTACGATGATTTTTCTATAAATAATCTAAAACAGTGACAGTTAAGAGTTAAAATTGTTAAAAACAAGTTTAAGAGTTATTCACACCTTGTAACATGCTGAGCAAGGTGTGTAAGATTCTATCTTAGCATTTTTAATGTCATTTTATTGATATACAAGGTCATGCATAACAAGGTTTCATTTAAACAATAAAACATTTTGATAAACTATAATAGGTATAGTTTGGACACCTCATTTAACAAAGAAATGGTAATACAATATATTTACAAAACAGGTATTTTATTACAAAACATGTGAGCATGTTAATGCATAAATTTATGAGGCATTCATCTTCGAAATACTCTTTAGTACAACAGTAAAGTCTTGTAGTTATAGCTAGAATCTCTTGTAGGGAGAGCGTGATATTTGTGTATAGATCTATATTGGGTTTGACAACCCGCACCTAAGCTGCTTGCAACAACTAGACCGACAGGTTTGGGTGACAAGTGTCATAACATTCTGACGCTTGAAGAACATCGAGTACGAGGCCTTCGAGTCATAGTATGGTTATAACAACTCACATGGGGAATTAACAAACACACAGTTCACATGAATTTAAGGATTTCACAAAAAAGGAGTATTATTTAAATATAAAACCACATATAAGTATGATGATTTACTTACATATACTAAGTCTTGTTTCAGTTAAGACTACAATAAATGTTTTAGAAAATATTGGATTTTCTAGAAACAAACTTGTAACAAACTTTAAGGAACAACATTCATTTTTCATTCATAAATTGCTTACAGACTCACCAGCTTTAATGCCAATGTTTTAAAACCCGGGTTTTTAGTTGACCCAGTGTGACGACCGGTTCACGGGTCAACCCAATTTATGGTCTTTTTCTATTTTTATATATTTTTTACTTTCCAGCATAATGCATAAACATATAAAACCTATAATTTGATGTACACAAAATTTAAATATTGAAAAACATTAAAGAAACCGTAAATGACTCGTTGTTTTGGTGTTCGCTACTTGTATCAAACTATCAAAACCTTATTAAAACGGGTAAACCCGGTTTTAACCGGTTCAGCATAAGCGGTCGAACCGCGGTTTAAGGGAAACCCGGCCGGTTCGATCTGGTCCGTATTTTCACAAAAAAACCGTTCTCAATTGACCCGCCTTTTACCCCGGGTCACGGTCCAACCGGTTGAACCGGTCGGGTCAACCCGAGTTTTAAAACATTGTTTAATACTGATACTCTTTAAAAAACAACTTGTATTCTCAGGTAATCAGTAATACAGGTAATCACAAGATTTTTAAAGGCAAGACGCTAAGGCGCAGATTTCTTTTGAACTATTTTGACATCATATGTAATTTATTAGGAAACCTGTATTTTTTTTTGTTTTTTTTTTTTTTTTTTTGCAACGATGTAACCTTTTAAATTATATTTATAATGGTTGTGTTTACTTTCTTCACTATGGTTATGATACTGAGCATGACGTCCCCCGCCCCCGAACGTTTCCGCCGTTCCGGTTTAAGGGTGTGACACCAAATATACAGATGTAGGTACACATAAAAACATTCAGAAAAACACAACCAATATTTCTCAGAAGCCAAACACCCACCAAGAAAGTAAAACCTAGAGATTGATAGAGATGTAGGAATGAGTCTGATAAACAATCATCAATCTGTAGAGCTAGGGTTGTGAGGCAGAGAATGATAGTTTTAGTGTTAGAGACGGTGGTTTCCTCTCTCTTGATTTTCTTTTTGTTGAAACAAGGTCAAACCTATAAAAATCCCATAACAATGTCAGTTCTTTCTACATTAAATTTTAAGAAATTATGGTGGTTTAACAGGAGAAATTAAGTGATTCTAGTGGTATCTTCTCTCTTGATTTTCTTTTTTGTTGAAACAAGGTTGCTAAAAGAAAAATAGAAAAGAACGAAGGTGGAAGAAGGAATAAGATGGGGTTAGGGGATTTTTTTTTAGAGAGGTGTGAGTTCTCTTATTTTTTAATTATTAAAATGAATAAATAATTATTAAACATTAAAAAAATGATTTTAAAAATAAAAAATAAATACCCAAGGGTATTAAAGTCATTTTAATTTATCGAGGGACCAAATCCGCAATGAAACTAGCTCAAAAGGACCACGAAACCAAAAAAATCGAGATTTAAACTAAAACCCAAAAAAATAAATACCACAGAAACCATTTTTACAACTTTGTCAAAAGCATTTTTACAATTTTTGTCAAAAACATAGAATCAATATTGAAGTGCCTAGGTTTGTAAGTGTACCACATTACATAAATTAAAAAATGATTAATATATGATTGGTTCTTTATTGAGTAACATTGATATTTTTGTGTTTATATATATTTTGTTTTATTTTTATGTTTATTTTACTTGTTATAACATAAACTTTTAAAAACAAAAATTTTTAAAAATTGTTTTTATAAATACTATAATTCTTAAAATAAAAATTCACTACAAAGTAGAATAATAAGTAATAAAAAACTACTATAGATATGGTTGCATGCCTTCTTATGTCCATTGAAGCATCAAACAGACATGCTGCTCAATACTACTTCTGGTTTCTGAAAGCTCGTGGAAGAACACTGAACACAATTAACTATTCTAAATCCAGCATTTTGGTGGGAAAATCGAAGAGCAGTTCAACGAATTTCCAACACAATTACAGCAATTCGACTCAATTTTAGTCAGTGATTCATCATCCCCAAATGTTGCTTCAACAGCCCTCACCTTGTCCTAAAACCCTCCCGAACCCCTTTCTCTCTCACCTTCATCTTCCCCGAAACCTTCTTCCTCGAACCCCTTATCACTTTCGTCGCAGTTCCTTTCTCCTTCACGCATCTGCTTCCTCCGCCGACACCAAAAGTCTACCTCAATCCGCAATTCGAAGAATTGCCGATAAGCTTCGAAGCTTAGGTTACGTCGAAGACGATAGCAATAAGCAACAGCCTTCAGCACCAGAAGTAACCCTAGTTACCTCTCCTGGTGAAATATTTGTCCCGTTACCTAATCGTATACCAAAGTACCGGGTCGGCCACACGCTTGACCCGAGTTGGAGTACGCCTGAGAATCCAGTTCCGGAGCCTGGGTCTGGAAATGCGATAAGAAGGTATCATGAGCTTCGGCGGGAGGTTTGGAAGGAGAAGAAAGAGGAAAAGGTGAAGAGGTCGCTAGAGGGAAACGGAGAGAGCGAGAATGTACCGACAATGGCGGAGTTGAAGCTGCCACCGGCGGAGTTAAGAAGGTTGAGAGGGTTGGGAATTGCTGTCAAGCAGAAGCTTAAGATTGGGAAGGCTGGTATCACAGAGGGGATCGTTAATGGAATCCATGAGAGGTGGAGAAGGACTGAACTCGTAAAGATTGTCTGTGAGGATTTGTGTAGATTGAACATGAGGAGAACGCATGATTTACTTGAGGTTAGATAAACAATGTCTGTTCTCCTGTAGTATACCATTATTGTTCACAAACACAACTGACTACTCCCTCCTTCTAATCAACTAGTCCAAAATTCAAAATCAACTCAAATGCTTTAGTTTTTCTTAACCTTGAATCTTTCTTTTTTGTCATAATGATCAACATTGGGGCTTTTTCTCAGAGAAAGACTGGGGGTTTAGTTGTCTGGAGATCTGGAAGCATTATCATATTGTACAGAGGAACAGACTACAAGTATCCTTACTTCTTTGTAAACCCAAATGATGCATCTGTTGATGAACCAATGAGTTCATCTACAAACTCCGAAGATAATGGTGTTCAAACAAGAACAACAACTGAGCCAGAGCCACCTTTGATTCAAGGAGTGGGTTCAAGAACCAGGGTTCGATTTCAGCTACCTGGTGAGAAACAGCTCATGGAAGAATCTGATCAGCTTTTGCAAGGATTAGGTCCAAGGTTCACTGATTGGTATGGATATGAACCTTTACCAGTTGATGCTGATCTTCTACCTGCAATTGTTCCTGGATACAGGAAACCCTTCAGGCTTCTCCCCTTTGGAGTTCAACCAAAATTAACAAATGATGAGATGACAATTCTTAGAAGACTTGGAAGGCCTTTACCATGTCATTTTGCTTTAGGTTAGTCACTCACTCTCACTCCAAATTCTAGTTCTATATGTTCTTATTTGAAAATATGTCTGTTTGTATTGTATCAGGTAGAAATAGGAAACATCAAGGATTGGCTTCAGCTATTCTAAAGCTTTGGGAGAAATGTGAGATTGCAAAGATTGCTGTTAAGAAAGGAGTACAGAATACTAACAGTGAGCTAATGGCTAAAGAATTGCAGGTTTATGTTACTTGGAATTGATACCAATAATAAAGCATCTTGAAATATGATGTTTTTCTTTCAAATTATCATTAACAATGTCATATTTATTTTCTCCAATATTTCAGTGGTTAACTGGAGGAACCCTACTTACACGTGATAAGGAGTATATTGTTCTTTATAGAGGTAAAGATTTCCTCCCATCTTCAGTTTCTTCAGCAATCGAACAGAGAAGAAACCATGGAGTTGATGAGTTTCAAAGGAACAAAACTCCAAACTCATCATCAAATCCTCCACAAGTCAATCAAGATAATGGAACCCAAAGCTCCTCTGTTTCCAAAATTGGTGAAATTAATGACCAAAAACTAGAAATTGCCATTGAACAAAGGAAACAAAGGTCACGTGAAGCAGCTATTAAGAAGACTAGTTCCAAATTGTCTCAGGTATCAATTTACATCACATGTGCTATGAACTCACATAATAGAACAAGACACAATAAGGTCAACTCAAAAGTCAAAATGAAGAAAAACAGATCTCATTTCATTTAATAATACTCAATTGATCAAGAAGAAAGGATAGTTTGGTAAATTCGAGAAGCCACTCTTCAAAAGGAAGCAATACATAAAAACTTAATAATTAAAATACCCAAAATGCCCTTCCACTCAAAGATGCTGTTTCACTTTCACCTCTACTGATTCCTTTGATGTTGAGAATGATAGGCATTGGAGAACAAAGAAAAGGCAGAGAAGCTTCTAGAAGAATTGGAGAAGGAAGAAACAAAACAACAATTTGAAGTAGATAAAGAGGGTATCACTGAAGAGGAAAGATACATGTTGAGGAAAGTTGGCATGAAGATGAAGCCTTTTCTACTTTTGGGTGAGTCTCAAATCTCGTTTTCATTTTTATGGAAATGGATTAATTTGAGTTATATTTTTATCGGTAAAAGGTCAAACAGGTAAAACTAAAAACAAAAAAATTGCCGAATGGGAAAATTTCTTCAAAAAAGATTTGCATCGTTATAAATTACACAAACAAAAACATATTATTTTGCAATTTTTATTCCATTCCATGACGAAACAATAAAAAATGTTGAAGGTCATCACTAGCCCAATGGGGCTTAGCCTAATAGAGTTTAGCCCTTTATCAAAAAGATGTTATAATGTTCTCGAATGATCTAGAAAATTCTACAACAAGCTAACTTCATTTAGACAATAAGATTGATTCTATTGGGCTAGTGATAAATCTTTAACAAAAAACACCCACCTGGCTAAACCACAAACATTAATTCCATTCCATCGTTGTTTTCATTCGAACGGAATCAACAATTCCATTCCGGTTTCCAACCATAGTAAATGATAATGCAATCTAAACACGTTTCCATTGTCAGGTAGACGTGGGGTTTTTGATGGAACTGTTGAAAAACATGCATCTTCATTGGAAATACAGAGAGCTTGTGAAGATATTATCCGGTGAATCCACCATTGATGAGCTTCATGCAATTGCAAGAACATTAGAAGCAGAAAGTGGTGGAATATTAGTTGCAATAGAACGCATGAGAAAAGGTCATGCAATTATTATTTATCGTGGAAAAAATTATAAAAGGCCACCTTCTTTAAGGCCTCAGACACTTCTTAATAAAAGAGAAGCATTAAAACGTTCCATTGAAGCACAACGTACAGAGGTAATTATTAATATTATTTAATTTTGATTGTAATGATTTTTTGTAAATATGTTTTAAACTTTGTAAAATTTTGATATGCAGTCGTTGAAACTTCATGTGTTGAAGCTTGGGAAAAATGTTGAGGAGTTGAAGCTTAAGTTGGTGAGTTTGTTTATGATGTTTGTATTTTGAAAATAGTTTCTGAAAAAAATAAAAAATAAAATACTTAATTTGTCTTGAAACAGGCCAAAAATGAGGAAATCTATATACAGGGTGAAAAAGATGAAGTAGCTGAGGTAAAGTGTTGTTTTTTTTTTTTTTTAAATTGAATAAAGCGTGTTAACGAGGCTAAATGACCATTTTACCCTTATATCCCAAAAAAACAAATTTCAAAATATTCATTGTTAATCGACCTTATATTTTGTGTTTTTTCCAGATTAAACCTCAACTTTATTTTTTTTCCTGAAAAAGATCTTGTATTTTTTCCAAAAAAGCCTTCAACTTTGTATTTTTTTTACGAAAAAACCCCTCAACCGTCTAAATGCTTGCAAATAACCCTCAACTTTTTTAGTTTTTCTCGAAAAAACCCTCACGTTTTACAATTTTTTTTTGGAAAAAAATGACTAAAAGTCCCGGATCGGAAAAAATGAAAAAAATACAAGGTTTTTTTTAGGCAAAAAATAAATTTGAGGTTTAATCCTGAAAAAAACACAAAGTATAAGGTCTTTTACGAGATTAACCAAAAAAAAAATGTAAAGTGTGAGGGTTTTTTTCGAGAAAAACTAAAAAAGTTTAGGGTTTATTTGGAAGCATTTAGAAGGTCGAGGTTTTTTTCGGAAAAAAAAAAAAAACAAAGTCGAGGGCTTTTTCGGAAAAATAAAAAAATGCAAGGTCTTCTTCAGGAAAAAAAAAAATAAAGTTGAGGTTTAATCCGGAAAAGACACAAAATATAAGGTCTTTTATGAGATTAACCTTTTTTTTTTCCAAGTTGATTAAAAAAGAAACACCCCCTTAATCTATTAAGCTATATACGAGTGTTTCTTTTTGACTTAATGCAGAAAGAATAACTTAACACATACATATATTTATATATTTATTAATGATTGTATAGGAACATGAAAAGGAGAAAAGCTCATCAACTGAATGTATGGAAGAAGCTAATACAAATATTGAAGTTCATAATCATAATCCAAATCCTACAAAATTAAAGGAAATTGAGGTTGATTTACATTTTTCAAACAAAAATAATGTCTCACAAATACAAATACAAATACAATCATCATCCCAAGAAAATCCAGAAACAAATGAAAGTGAGTTGAGAGAAGCTAATAACTCCTCAAAGCCATCACTGTTAACCAATAAAACTGAGTTCCGAGTTACCGAGTCAAACGGGAGACAACACAGATCTGTTCTTCTTTCCAATAAAGAAAGGCTGCTTTTGAGGAAACAAGCACTTAAAACCACAAAACGCCCTGTTCTTGCTGTTGGTAAGTTTGATTTTTTTTTTTTTTTTGCTAATATTATATAAAATTGGTATGATATTATTTATATTTTATACTTCAGGGAGAAGCAATATTGTTAGTGGTGTGGCTAAAACAATTAAAACTCATTTCCAAAAACACCCTCTTGCTATTGTGAATATCAAAGGAAGAGCCAAAGGGACTTCAGTGCAACAACTGGTTTCAAAGCTACAGGTATTATTATTATTATTATTAGGGTTTATTAGTTTTATATATAAATATAACTTATGAAAAAGTTCATGCTTTATTTATAGGAGGCAACAGGGGCAATTTTGGTATCACAAGAACCGAATAAGGTTATTTTGTATAGGGGTTGGGGGGCTACCACAACACGGGATTATAATAAAAAAGTTAATGAGAGACATGAAGATGAAGAAGGGATTGTTAAAAAGACAATAATCTCCCCGGAACTTATTTCAGCGATTAGATTTGAATGTGGACTGGAGGGTAATATAGTCCATGAGCGTGAAGGAGTTTCTTAGGCTGACTTTTCCTGTTTCCATTTTGGACTTTGATACGATGGAATTGGGATTTAGGATTACTATTCAAGCAACGATGATGATGATGGTATCACATTCTTATTTTGTAACATATAACGTTGTTTGGAGAGAAAAAAAAAAAAAACTACAAAGATCTTGAATAATGCTTAAACCATACAGAAAACAAGACTTTGGAAGACAAAATGTAAAGAAGACTAGCATAAGTATTATCATATACTAAAACTCATATCGAAGAAACTGATGAAAAATTCATTCTTGACACTTAAGAAAATATGAAAATTATGAAGCAAGTATATCGTCTGGCGTCATCTTCGATCAAGAATACATCACCCCTACTAAGAATATGTTTATGTTTGATAACTTATGTAATGCTATCATTTAATTTATAAGCTTTTAATATTAATTCAATATCAAAGTTTTCTTATGTTAACGTTATGAGATAAAACCACCCAAAGAAGTTCAGAAAAAAAAAAAAAAAAAAAAATGAAACCGAGCAAAAAAAAAATTGACTGTAAGAAACCGAAATTTAAATTAAAAAAAGAAAAAGGAAAAAAAGCCTCACCCAAGGCCCAACTAGTTGGTGTATTGGGCCAAGTGATGACCCAAATTAAGCCCAAGAAAAGAAAGGTGAAAGTGTGACACAAAATGTGGCTCACTGAAAATTACATCGGCTCGGGGATAAACTGATATTGCAATTTGCAACGAGTGGTGCTCCGTCGTCCCTTTCGACATCAAAAGAATCTTTCCGGTAACGCCAAATCATACACACACATGTTTACATAGGTCACCGGTGATGATCTGGAACTTTTCTCTCTGCTCAATCTCGAGATACTGTTAGTCCTGCTTTGTGTTTTTCATTTTCGTTATATTGATCGAATCCGGAAGATAATAACCGCGATGAGAGCTCTACCGGCAACGACGTCTTACGCCGTCGGCTTCGGTGTTTCCTCTTTCAGAACACCTCCTACGCACCTCCGCCTCCGTGGAGCCGTCATTGCCAAAGGTAATTTTCTCACGCGCGCTCTCAAATGTTTGTCTGGAGTCAATTTGTTCCGCCTTAAAACCCTAGCATTGAGTATTTTCTTTCTGAGAGTTTCTTGAATTTATCAGTGACGAATGCGCTCTCGTGTAGCTTAATTTGTGCTTTTGTTCATTTGCTTTCATTTCGAGAATTTGATTTCACTAGTTATTGTGTCGAAGCTAGATTTCTAAACCATGTGCTTCTTAATTAATGCTTCTTATAAGGAGATGAAGACGATCATACTAATCATGCTCATATTCATTTGATTTTGTGCATATTAAAGCCCTGTAATTGGCGTTAACATTGGCGTTAATCATGCTCATATTCATTCGATCAGGAATAATAAAATTGAATAACAAACATAGTTCTTATAAAGAGAAATTCAAAAATCAAAACAGAAAACAAAGAAATGTTCAACATCCTTGTACATATCAGGAGCTTAATCCAATTAGATCAACATTTGAAACTTGAAGCTCAAACCATATTATGTATTGGGAATATCGTTCAATCCGGTTACATTGTTTAAGAACTATCAATCTTACTGGAGCTACTTTCCTTTATTATATTGTTGTTTTGAATATTTTCAGCTGAACCATCAGACAAGTCTGTTGAAATCATGAGGAAGTTTTCAGAGCAATATGCTCGTAAATCTGGCACATATTTTTGCATAGACAAAAGTGTTACTTCTGTAGTTATCAAGGTACATTTTTTCTATGAATGTCCATCTCCACTAGATTTTTCTTTGATTCACATTTATGTGCAATAGATGTTTATGAGAAAATTAGTCTGTATGAATATGATATACACTTTTATAAAACATTGTCTCATTGGAAAAGCTTAGGATACCATCTTGATGAAATTCAAAAAGCATTACTTCACTAACTTTATGATAAAGTTGAAATTTCTGGTGTTAATTGGTGATACACAGGGATTAGCAGATCACAAAGATTCATTGGGTGCACCACTTTGCCCTTGCAGGTATATCTGCAATCCTTATTCATTTACCAATTTGCCCTTGCAGTTATATCTGCAATCCTTCTTCATTTCATTTGTAAACAGGCACTATGATGACAAAGCAGCAGAGGCAACACAAGGCTTTTGGAATTGCCCTTGTGTTCCCATGAGAGAAAGGTAATCTTAGTATTATGATTTTATTCGCCTAATGCATGAAATAGCAACATGCTTATATATATATATATATATATATATATATATATATATATATATATATATAGCATGCTACTTTTGTTTCTTTTTCATTACAACATATGCTTTCATTTTTTTTTTTTGCTTTGCTTTCAAAGTACATTGCTATTTCTTGCATTTAATTTTTGTAGCCTGAATGCCTGATTAAGATTTTTTTTTTTTTTTTTTTTTTTTTTATTTCTCAGAAAGGAATGCCACTGCATGCTTTTCCTCACTCCTGAAAATGATTTTGCTGGCAATGAGCAGGTAGTTGTAATAGTAATAGTATTAGTAATAGTAATACCATCTCAGAAAAAATAAAGTATTTACTAAAAATAAAAATCAAGAAATTTTCAGTAAAAACTTTGGCCTTATTGATGAAAAATTTCCAGTAAAGCTATGTTTGGCGTACTAGCTGAAAATCTAGCAGATAGCTGGTAAAAAATAACATTTGGTAAACTAGCTGAAAGATATAAAATGACATAAAAAGACATTAAGATAATGTGTTTCTATAATTAATTAAGTTTGGAAAAGTTTTACAAAAGCTCATAGAAAGCTAGTCTTAGTAGCTTTTTAAGAAGCTAGCAACTTAAAAAAGCTCGAAAAATAAGCTGGCTTATCAGCTAGATGTGACACGCAAAAGACGGCCTAAGTTAGTTTTGTCTTTTTCTGTTAAAAAAAAAAATTAAGTTCATCAATAAGAGGAAAGTTTTGTTTTGGGGAGATTTCCAAATAAAAATCCTACTTTTTAAGTAAAATAATTTTAGGAAAAAACTATTTACTAAAATAAAATTATAAGCTCTCTCTTCCTTCCTTCATGGATGCAGGCGATTTCTATGGAAGAAATTAAAGAATCAACTGCCAATATGTAGTGTAGGTGCCGTTTTTTTTGGTACAAAAACTATCGAATTACATGTATAATTTTGCATGTTCATATTCATATTGTAAACGACATCATTACTATGGGCGTGTATCCAATCATATAACATGTATTGTGACAACTCACAAACCAAAATAAAATAAATACAAAGAAAGAACAAATAACTAAAGATGATGCCTCGTTTTACTTTGTGACTTAATGAAATGTCACACTACTCTTTTTAGATACAACTTTTTATCTTAAAAATTAAGAATTTGAACAATTACGAGATAAAGGTATCAAATGTTTTGAATCCAAAAGATTAAAAGTCCGTTTCTTAATTAAAAAATTATGAGTCTACCAAACAACTCAAAGTTATGAAAAAAAAGATGTTTGGATTAAGATTAAAAAAACACTATAAGCTGATAAACATTTTTTTTGATTGTTTGGTAGAAAGTGGGAACTGAATATTATATGTAAACTCCCGAAAATAAGCATCCTTATATATTTTGGCTTATTTGTTGTTTGTACATATAATAATTTATCTTTAACCATTTATAGTAATCTTTTCAACGAAAATGTACTAAACCCTAAGCTATTTTATATCCCAAATTTGAATGCTTGATACATTTTTATAAAATTTTATTGATGCATGATCTCAAGGTTACAATCAATCGTTACACAAGGCCTAAAAGATTATCATAACGACATTTTATTATGATTTATTATTTTCTGCCGGGACATTGAGTACTATAATTCAAGTACTAGAATGGTCCTTAATCGAGTCCATAATTGAGATACATGTCTTGTTCTTGTAGCTAAATATCAAGTACTACGATAGATATCATAAAAAGTCCAAATTCAACGTTTTTGGTCAACTCAGCTAAACATATCAAACTAGGTAGAATACTTTCTCAACAAAGGAACATCAACATAAAAATGGCAAATGATAAAAGGTTTTGATGGGTTACCAATTGATTGAACTCGGTTTGGAGGGTGGAGCGTATTTGTATGAGTGTTAAATGAGGGCATTGTTGTAAACTTATTTCAAGAAGCTATAAACTATTTTCAAGAAGTAAAATGAATATGATTTCTTAGAAACTCTTTATTAGAGGTGATAAAAATGAGTTTTAAAAAACTATTTTGTAATTGCTAAACATTCATTTTAACTTATAATCATTATAATGATTGATAAGAGATAAATTTTCATAAATGTATGTGGTTTTCTAGAATATCAAGTTTAATTCCTATTTCTTTTGGTTACATGAAAGCTCCGGATGGTTTCAATTTGTATCGTGATTTGTCTTTACCCATATAAAAATACTTTATACATTTTTATTATATTTTATGTTTTAATTACATTTAATCAATTGAAAATTTGTTTAATGAGAATGTGGGTCCCATTGTCCCACCATTTTCACTAACAACCCAAAACCCTTAATCTTCTAGATTCCAATCGATCTCTTTCCACCACGATATCTCTTCCTATACCCATCTCTCTCTACTTTGTCTGTCTAGTTGGAAACCATCGTTGGTGTCATCGATGTCCATCGGAAAGCTCGTTGCCGTTATTGATGCCCACCAAAACTCGTTGGAGGATCCAACTTCACAAACCTAAAGCGACCAATACAGGCCACAAACCATCCCATCTCAACCATGACTACTCATTTACACCGCCAACACCTCGTCTCAACTTCTTCGACCACCGTTCCCACGGTCGGGTTAGGTCTGACAACCATCACAACCATTAACAATTGATTTCTGAAAATAAGACCCCCGTCGATTCCATCATAGCATTAACCCCATCTCTGTAATTGGAAAAAATCAAACTCCCACTGAAATTGATTTATAAAATTAAAACTTCCACCAAATGAGTTATGAAAATCAAACCCTCATTGGTTCATCAGATGTATGGTTTTGATCTCGGTGGGTAACCGGAAGAAATGGGGTTTCATGGGAAAGATGATCTGTGTGTTTGATCTGGCAGTCCAATTTCCTTACATTTTGGCGAAGGTGACAAATTTCTTTTATAGGATAAGTCATCTATCGCCTTGAAACAATATCCATATTTGCTTAACCTTCCGGTGACGTTCCATAACTGCACTTTGATGTATTTTTAGATGGATGGTTGAGGAATTTGTAGAATTTGTTGATTTAATTACTATATGATTTGTTTTCTAAAATTTGAGGAATTTCTAGGTTTTGTTGTTTTTACTAGAATTTGTTGATTTGTAGGAATTACTCTCTGATATTTTAATTGAGGAATTTGTTTATGGTTTTTTTTTTTTTGGCAAAGTGGGCGATAAAGGAAGTAGTGGTATCGGAATAAGTGTATTGAAGAAAATGGTCGATAGAGGAGAGGGAATCTATTGAGTGAGGGGGAATAAAGAAAATTTGTATTTATTTATTTTTTAAATAATTTTTATTAAAGGAAAAATATAAAATATATAAAAATGGTATAAAAATCTCCTATAATAAATTAAGGTTTTTTTGCCACATGTCATCTTCTTATTCATTTGGACACATGGTATTTTCTAGAATTTTTAAAATTTATATTTTCCACTTGTCATTTTATTGTATTTTTTATTTTATTAAATTAAAATTCCACATTTAATGTGTAAGGTAATATATATGTAAATTATTTATTAGAAAGAGTTTATAAATCTAATGTATTCAATACATTAAAGTCTCATTAATTTTAATAATTCAAATTTTTTTCACTTTTTTTATAAATTCAAACTTTTCAAATTGTTAAATTTTTATATTTATTATTTTTTTAATTAAACTCATGTAATACATGAATCTCACACCTAATCTTTTTATATAAGTGGAAGACCAACCATTATAAAAATTAATACTAGATAGACCTTACATGAAAGTGAGAAAAAAATTAAAAATTTAACCTGATATTCTCAGAAACCATAATGATTATTTATGATTATTTGTATAGAAGAAATCAATAAATTATTTCAAATATAATTTTTTAATTATTTTATCAGAGTGACAAAAATAAGCTTTAAAAATCCTTTTGTAATCGCTAATCATTCATATTCATTTATAACGATTGATAAAATAATTAGTTCAATAAATCATTTTAAAACACTATCCTAAACATTCTTTTTAGAATAAATTACATTTTTTTTTCTTAATATTCCACCACTTTAACCTTCTTTGTCCATTAACCCAGGTTATTTAATTTCTACCATAAAACGATCATTTTATGCTTAATTATTTTCGTTCTTTTACTAGTTTAATTTTATCATATTAGGTCCACCCATCCCTTTACCCTTGAACTAATTTTATTATCATATGTTAATAATATTTGTTTAAGTTTGAAAAATCTTTTGTCAATTAAAATTTCTATGCAAAACATATGTATAAAATATCGTTTTTCATCAAAGAATAACCTTAGGTGGACGAGTAGACTGATTATTTATTGTCAATTCATTTCGTACATAAAAAATGACAAAATACGTTAAAATTTTAGAAAAAATCGTAGGGAATTTGAGCTTATAGAAGGGCGAATAATAATGAGTGATATCGTCATATGATAATGATTCTAATATCTTTATGGAATATATTAGTTATGGAAATCGTCCTAAAATTGTGACACGTGTAACCGCCAACGATTTTGAAAAATGAATAAAGTGTGGGCCCCTCTAACATGCGCGTATGCTCTTATTTTGAACAATGTCATTGAAAATAATGACCCATTCCAACACAAACCTTTCTGGCATACCCCACTTGTATTCACGTACCTTTACTAGTTTGATTAAGACGAATTACGAAAAAATAGTTAAGCAACTTGTTTTTTCTTGTTTTCATAATAAAAAAAATGCAAAAATCATGAATATCGGAGACTTTCCTTAAAAATAAATAAATTAACTAGACTTTTAGCACAAGAGAACTTATTAGAGTTGTCTAATTATTTTTTCCTTACATTGAAATTTATTTCATAATTTAATAGTTAAAAATAATTAAATATGGACCGACAAATCAGCATCCACCGCGATTACTGGCTGCCTGTAAAAGTGATAGTCGCGCGTCAGTATTCACGCTCTCACACGCGCTTCTCCCCCTCAAAACCCTTTCTTGAGTCTTGACGCCATTGAACTCCTCATTAAGCTACATGCTCTACTGACAGAGCCACATCAATGGCTGACAGAGTAATCTCAATTCTCTTACTCATTTCATTCTTAATCTCATCTTCACACTCTCAGCAACTCACCACCAGTTACTACCAGAAAACATGCCCCAAATTCGATCAGATAATGCAGGACACAACCACCAACAAGCAGATCAATTCCCCAACCACCGCCGCCGCGGCGCTCCGTCTCTTCTTCCACGACTGCCTCGTCGAAGGCTGCGACGCATCCGTCCTTATCTCCTCCAGACCCTTCAGCAAAGCCGAACGTGACGCCGACATCAACCTCTCCCTCCCTGGAGACGGGTTCGACGTCGTTGTAAGGGCGAAAACCGCTCTCGAACTCGCTTGCCCTGGCGTTGTCTCCTGCGCCGATATCCTCGCCGTCGCTACTCGTAATCTCGTCACGATGATGGGCGGACCTTTCTACACCGTGAAATTAGGTCGCCGTGACGGATTAGTTTCGAGAGCGTCGCGCGTTGAGGGCAATCTCCCTCGACCTACGATGTCGATGAATCAACTCATCAGTATCTTCAGTTCTAGAGGGTTTTCAATTCAGGAAATGGTGGCATTAACAGGTGCTCACACCATCGGATTCAGTCATTGCAAGGAATTCAGTTCAGAGATCTACAATTACAGCAGAACATCACAATACGATCCGTCGTTCAATCCAAGATACGCCGAGGGATTAAGATCTGCTTGTGCGGATTACCACCGGAATCCTTCCTTATCGGTGTTCAACGACGTGATGACTCCTCGAAACTTCGATAATGCGTACTACCAAAACTTGCCGAAAGGACTTGGAGTTTTGAAATCGGATAGGGCGCTTGTAATGGATCCGAGAACGAAGCCATATGTGGAGTTGTATGCTAGAGACCAGAAAGTTTTCTTTGAGGCATTTGGTCGAGCAATGGAGAAGCTTGGTTTGTACGGTGTGAAGAGTGGCCGGAGAGGAGAAATCCGGCGCCGGTGCGATTCATTCAACTAGGTTACATTCATCATTATATATTCCAAGATAATGTTCTAATATATCTCTTGAATTTATTATTATATTTTTTAACGATGAAGATCATATAATTTGTATACAAAAATCTTTTACTTTCAAGATTAAACAATAACATCAAGTTAGATCGATTTTCGGCTAATTTTAAACTTTCGGAAATGTTACAAGCCGTAAGCATCATTTTTAGTCTATTTTTATTTGAGGGTTAATGTTAATGTATTGGTTGAACTTGTTTTTTTTAGTATCATGGGTTTTTTTCATTTACTACTTTTTTGGGTTTTTGACTAGCATACAACTTACCGAGGAATTAATTCATTATGACTTGTCTTGTTCAAAATATATATTTCATCTTTTAGTTCAAGATGAACATCAATGTGTCGAAGAAGTAGCCATCATGTCCTTTACCTTCAATTCTTGAATAATGTTCTTTGGTATTGTCTTCTTCAAATCAAACATGTGAATCCTCACCATTCTATTCAAACCAAACTTGTAAATCCTCAACATCCTCTTCAAATATATTTTTTCAATTGGTGGAAAACCATAATACTACAAAGGTTTATTAGGGACAAAATAATAAAGCTTTTCATGGGATTTTTGCATGAAGTGTTCGAAGAATGATACACGCTAAATAAATTCAATACGAACGAAGTCGTGGTCAACTAAGTAAATAAGAAGTCATTGAACGGTCTATATGTCCAAGAGTCATTATATAGAATGATATTTGTTAATGACATATGATCATATATGATTACATCTTATAAAAAGTTGCTACTAATTGATTATTTATTAGAGTAATTTTGATTATTAATAAATATCAACATTTGTATTTGTTAAATGTGACTTGAGCATTTGCATCATTTTCATTGATCATTTGAGTTCAATGGAGCACTTGGAACTCAATGAAGCATTTGGGGTTCATGAAACATGTGACAAATAAACGGATCAATTGAGAAAGAAATGAATCATATGACAAATAAACACATCAAGCAACAAATGAGCTGGTCTTCTAAAAAGGGGTATGGAACACTTGGGAGCGGAATGAAGCATCATGGTGCATGGATGTTGTAACAACGTAAATTTTCAAACCAAAATTTTCATTTTTAAATCTCATAAAAACTCATAACATATCTCAAAACATAATTGTCTCAAGTGTAAACACAAATTCACATAACATATCACTATCCTAGAATCATCCACAAAATCTCGCATCGGTGTGTACAATCAAGTCGATGCCTTCCCGTGATCCTGAGAGGTATCTGAAACACATAAAAACACATAACACATAACACGGTAAGCACGAAGATTAGCGAGTTCCCCAAAATACCACACATATCTCATTAGCCTGTCATGACTATGCTCAAATAAGACCCTCCAGTCAGTGTGTCTCAGTGTGACCCTCCAGTCCCACAACTTGGGTGGACCTTCCGGTCCTAACTCGGTAAGCTCAAAATAATACACAACACAAATCACAAAGACATAATGCAAGATATCACAATACTCAATATAAGACATAAGACCCTCCGGTCACACAAAGATTACCACTCTAAGTAAAGTATAGTGAGAAGACTCACCTCGTAAGAAAACAAGTAATAATCTCGTACACGAATCTCGAACTAGCCTCCGCCTAACACATAAGATAATAATCTCTAATTAACACTTATATCACGACTCAAAATAAACTAGGTTATTCTCTCTCTCAAACTCTTGGAATGGGTAAAAAGACCATTTTACCCCTCTATGGTTCCCATACTCCCTGCCTTGACCAAACCCTAAAGTCAACATAAGTCAACACTCGAGTCAACTGTCCATGTTGACTTGACTCGCTGAGTGCATCTATGTGATTCGCCGAGTCCCCCTTGTTGCTTCAGAACATCGCGAAAACCCAACTCAACTCGTCGAGTTTTCTTGTCAACTCGCCAAGTTACCCATGTCCAGACTCATCAGGGAAAACCCTAGCCGACTCGTACAGTTAGCTCTTTGACTCGTCGAGTCCTTTAAGTCAAATTCTCATTCAGACGTTTTAAGGTAGATCTACCACTCCAAACTCTAGGTCTAGCCTCCTAAGGGTCGAATGTCACGTAAAGCTTCGATCTTTACGTTCATGCATGACATATTTGCTCCATAATGCCAATACAAGCTCTAACTAAAGTGTTTAAGCACAATAACTCTTTTATGGCTGGATAAAACCGGGACCTTTGGACTCTATGGACCTCTCATGGTCTAGATCTGATGTCTCAATGCTTGGCAAGCACAAGTTATACCAAATCTCAAGGAAATATGGAAAAATCCCCAAAAGTTCCTCATTAACAAGATGTAAACAACATGATGAGCAAGGTGACGACTTTTACCTTCCAACAGAAGCTCCAAGTGAATGAATACTGGATCTCACAGCCTCTCCTTGTTCCTTGCTTGAATCTCACTTCTTCTTCTCAGAGTCTGGATGTTACAATTCTCCCCTACTAGAATCAAACTTTGCCCTCGAAGTCATGCTCCAAAAATAACTCTAGATACTTCTCGCGCATCACTGTGACAACCGTCAATTTCCGGTCAAGTCAAAGTCAACCGAAGTCAACAAGTCAAACCGTTCGACTCAATTTGCCCGTGGGTACTAGAGTTTATGTTAGGTAAATACTATACAACTCGCTATTCTAATGAGAAGTCATAAATTGAAAAGTTCGTACATCTAGATCTCCTTAACCTAAAACTGTGGTACGTGGCGAGCCAAACCGATAAAACATTGTTGCATACTCATCGGGAGTGTGTAAGATCCTTATACAAGGCTTAACAGGGTTTACGGACCTTGCATTGCGAAGCGGGACACTCACAAATGTCACACACGAAACCTCTCTCAATCGTTTTCACTCTATCTCTCTTTATCGAGAAATCTCTCCAAGAATGTGAAATCTCTCCCAAAACTCTCTTTGTATGAGAAATCTCTCCAAGAATGTGAAATCTCTCCCAAATCTCTCTTTGTATAAGAAATCTCTCCAAGAATGTGAAATCTCTCCCAAAACTCTCTTTGTATGAGAAATCTCTCTCAAATCTCTCTTTGTATGAAAAATCTCTCCAAGAATGTGAAATCTCTCCCAAATCTCTCTCAAAAGTTCCTTAAACTTTTTATAGTCTTTCGGGCCATCCCGACCCTTAACCGGGTAAAAAACGACTAAAAACAGGGTAAAAACGAGTAAAATAGGCTTAAGGACCCGAAACCCCTCTCATGGAGTCGAACCCTCCTAAGGACCCGAAACCCTTCTTAGGAACCGAAGGAATCAGAAGCAAAAGCATGAGAAGCGAAGGCACTAGAAACGAAGGTCAGAAGCGAACTAGTCAGAACCGAACCCGAAGGCTGCTGAACTGAACCCGAGCCTCGCTTCCCAGCCAGAACCGAAACCGAACCTTAGAAGCCTCTTGGGCCCGAACCTCGCACAAGACACCGAGACCGAGCCTCGCTCTCGGTTCCTACTTCGACACTTTCGGTCTTCTCTTCTGCTCTCGGTCCCTTCCCCTCCTCTCGGTCTATCTCTTCTATTCTCGGTTCCAAGCATCAGAGGCCGAACCTCCAGCGAGACTTCGGATTTTTGACACTTTTCACCCATTTTCAATATTTTTAACATTTTAAGCTCGTTTTTCGAGATTTTAATGCGGGATTTTCACTCAAACTCGTATTTTAACATAATAAACCCTAAATATTCATAATTTAATCATATTTTCATGAAAATCCTTATTTAAATAATAAAATCTAGTGGGTGAATAATTGAGGTGCAGTGTTGACTTTGCTTTAACTTATGACACAAGCAACCACCCCACACCCACTCTATGACCAGCCACGCCTTCCTACCTTACCTAGGTCACTTCAATGTCCTTTCCACTCAATTATTAGCCTTCCCCACGTTCTTAGAGCTGGAACAACCCATCCTCTCTCCTCACTTCTCTCATTTGCTCTCATTTCACCAAGGATCCAACTCCACTTTTCTCTCAAACTTTCTCTATCAAATTCGAGATTCAAGGCTGATTATCAAGCTTTCTTACATTCTTGGTAAGTATAATTCATCCTCCTTGTGATAATTACACTCAATTCTACTCCGATCATAGATTTCTTACACAAATTACATCATTTTGGTGTTAGATTCTCGAAAATCTTCAAGGTATCTTCAAGTGTTCTTGAGTTGAACACTTCCTTAATCCAACATTCATCCACTGAAATCACTCAAGGTGAGTTCATAACCCTACATTTTAATGTTTTCTCAAATTTTTAGGGGTTGGGGGTGGGGGTGTGGGGGGGGGGGGGATACAAGTTAAAACACCAAGAACATAACTAAACTTTTCTAACAACCTTCATCAGAAAATTTCAACTCCATTCACGGACTGTTTTGGGCAACTTAAACATTTTATTTTTTAAAACTGTACAAGGTGCAAGTATTTCAGGTTCTTAGCTTTCAAATTACTACTTGCACATCTCCATACGATTTTTCTAAAATTTATGGTGAGTTTTACAAAACTGCCTATCATTTCAAACACCAATCCGGACCAGTCTGTGATTATGGACTTTTTCACCCAAGTTGGATGTCATTAAAAATCATGATTAAAATTATGAGTAAACTAGACACATTTTGGGAAAATCTCAGAATTTACGGATTTAGTTTTCGACTTCGTATGATTTTTCTATGACTTTTCTAAAACAGTGCAGAAAGGTTAAATTTAGTTAACAACATATAAATTTCATAACACTTTGTATTATGTTGAGCAAAGCGTATAACCATAAGTTCTAAATATTGAATGTGTTTCCTTGTTAGTTTATCATCATAAACTGAAACTTAGTCATTCATGATAAGATTATTCATTCATTTAGAACACGTATATTAAGCTATAATAAGCATAGTTTATGGATTCATAACACTAATGCATTTTCATAAAAGAGTTCTTATACATTACAAACGTTTTGGATAAACTATAATAGGTATAGTTTATGATTCATCACATAACAC